TAGAAAGTGATCTCGCTGATGTTGGTATAATATCAAACACTGGTTGCGACAAAAGACAAGACGCTTCTGACTAGGGAAAAAAAGTGTTCTGATTATGACATCATAATCTAAAAAAGAAATAAACAAAAGCTTACGGCACCTGAGGTTCCTAGTTGGTCTCCCATACAAGTACTAATGAGGCCCAAGTCTGCATGACTTCTGAGATCTGACGAGATCAGGCACTTTCAGACTGGTATGGTTATAGGTGAAATAAAGCAAATGCGATTTTGCTGATGGTAGAATATCAAATATTGGTTGCGACAAAAGACAAGACGCTTCTGACTAGGGAAAAAAATGATCTCATTATGACATTGTAATGCAAAAAAGAAATAAACAAAAGCTTACGGCACCTGAGGTTCCTAGTTGGTCTCCCATACAAGTACTAACCAGGCCCGAGTCTGGATGTCATCTGACGAGATCAGGCACTTTCAGACTGGTATGGCCGTTGGCAAAATTAAGCGAATGCGATTTTTGCTGATGTTGGTAGAATATCAAATACTGGTTGCAACAAAAGACAAGAAGCTTCTGGATAGGGAAAAAAGTGATCTGATTATGACATCATAATGCAAAAAAGAAATAAACAAAAGTTTACGGCATCTGAGGTTCCTAGTTGGTCTCCCATACAAGGACTAACCAGGCCCATGTCTGTACGGCTTCTGAGGAAGTAGGACTTAAAGTCACACCACCAAGCTTTCTGGGTATGACACCTGAGATTCCATTACATTTGGTAGCAAGCAGCAGGATTTTTCTTCCAAATGGATACCCCGAACAAGGAATGGCAGTGAATGACCCAGCAGTACCAGTTCCTAAAACGAACAATACTGAAAGACCTACTGGAAGCTCTTGGATGTTAGGCAAGTTATAGCCAGACTGATGGAGAGGGACCAAGCCAGAAACTTATCGACCAGGGGCATCGTGAAATCCGAGTTTCAGTAGGAAGTGTGCTGGCAGCTCAGCATATTGGGGCCCATTCCCCTGAAAGATATTATAGTAGAAATTATAGCACATGCCACAGAGGCACAGAATTCCTGGGGAACTAAAGCCGAGTTACAACAAGGAGCATCTCTTCAAGGATCCATCAACCGAGGACAACTAAGCTAAACTATGCTGCATTCAAAACTTATCTGGAGAGATGGACATTGGTACATATTTGCAAGACTTCGAGAGACAATTTGCTTTGGAGGGCCTGGACATAGCTAACTGGGTGGCCATTCTGAACAGCAAGCTGTCTGGTAGATCAGTTGAAGCCTTGTAGGTAGTACCCGACTAAGACATCCATAATTATGATTGTCTCAAAGAGACACTGTTGGCTCGGTATGCACCAACTCCCAAAGGCTACCTGTGACGATTCGGCCTTAAAATATCATCCGTTTATTGTATCCAGATCCAGCTTACAGAGATCACAGCATACAGTAAAATAAACATTACTCAAAACTTTCACCAATGGGAATACAGAACAGGTCACAGGAAAAGAAGTACAAAGCAACAAAGGGATTCCTTACACTAGTTACCACCTCCCCCTGTGCCAATACACCCTGACAACAACAGGTTATCTTGATTGGACAAACTATCCCTTCAGAGCAATCTCTGGTTACATCAACACAGCCCTTTGCTGTAGTAGATAGACTTGCTGGCTCCCACAGCAGAGGTCACTCATTTAACCTGATTAGCCCACTATACTTTATAGTTTATAGAGCTGCTGTCCCCCCTTTGTTGACCCACAGCTGCATATACAGACACACACACTGCTTTATGTATAACATAGGTACACAGTACATAGATACATGGAAACCAGTCACAAAAATGGCACCACAAGCTTGCGACTTGCGCCAAACAAATCAGGCCACCCATCACACTACAGAAGAGAATTTTGCAGCTTCCAAAAAGGTGGCAGCGACGCTTTTGCCGAATTGGCTTTATAGAAGCACCATGAAGCCCAGAACTGGATGCAGGGGTGTAAGGCAACCACCTTAGTTGACACCTTGCAACTAATGCTGCTGGAGCAATTCTTTGACCACACACCGCCAGAGGACCGTGATCGGAAGCCTGTGAAGAATTTCCCTATATAACTTTCTGCATTTATCTGAAAGCACTGTTTCCCCTTGGTTCGGTATTTTCACACTACCAAACACCGACAACCTCCGAGGCTCATTAAATTCAAAGAAGTGTTTAACGCAAATACTCTCTCTGGGTGGCCGCCATTCTTATAACTGAACAAACGTGCTCTAGTAAATGGTCTGCTCCTCTCACAGACATGCCAGGAGAGTGATCAGTAGGAACATTGGCTTGATAAGAGCAAGGGGCAGCATTTGTTTATCTTCACATAGGAACTCCTGAAAGTTGACTGGCCTATACCTCTTTACTCCTAGAACTATTTTGTGCAATATCCACATGGGCTGCCGGTCCGAACTTTAACCCAATGGCAATTTCCATACACTGGGTGAATGAGTTATTTGGACAACTTTGGTGCTCAGATCAGGGCTATTTGGGGATATAGTACCCTTGGGGGTTCCTGTCTGTTTTATCTGTATTTTTGTTTTTTTTTCGTGTTGTACCTTGGATGCATGGGAGATACTTAGTTTAAGCCAAAGCAAACTCAATTATCCTCCCAGACACCTGAATAGGGACCCCATGCTGGGGGTCATGTATATAAACAGAGAACTTGGCCTCAATCAAATGAGTCTTTTCCTCTTTTACACTATTTTGCAATTGATTCCCACTTGTACTTTACACATTGACGGTGCACTTCGCATTCAATTTTGAAAACTTTTAACTGGGAACTTTAACATAGCTTGGGCAGGAGAGAGCGTTGTAAACCTCTATTTATTTTACTTGGTCACATTATGTAGGGTAATATGATGAAGTTAACTGATGAAGTTAAGGATTCTGACTCAAAACTGGACTCTTACACATTTTACAGTGAATTCAGGAATTTGTGCAATATGTGTTCCAGTGGAAGAAGAAATAGCCAATTTGGAAGTATCAGGTGACAACAAAAAGTTTAACTTTTTTTGTTTTTAATTTTTCTTTTAAATCTTTCTTACAGTCTTGTAGGAATTGTGTTTGTGTTGTGCACACCTCCTATCACCTATATGTATATAGTTACATAGCTGAAAAGAGACTTGCGTCCATCAAGTTCAGCCTTCCTCACATTTGTTTTTTTGCTGTTGATCCAAAAGAAGGCAAAAAAACCTAGTTTGAAGCACTTCCAATTTTGTAACAAATTCAGAAAAAAAATAATTCTTCACCCCAGAATGGCAGTCAGATAATTCCTTGGATCAAGAAGCTATTACCATAGAAACATTGAAACATAGAATGTGACAGCAGATAAGAACCATTCTGCCCATCTAGTCTGCCCAAGTTTCTAAATACTTTCATTAGTCCCTAGCCTTATCTTATAGTTAGGATAGCCTCATGCCTATCCCACGCATGCTTAAACTCCTTTACTGTGTTAACCTCTACCACTTCAGCTGGAAGGCTATTCCAGGCATCCACTACCCTCTCAGTAAAGTAATACTTCCTGATATTATTTTTAAACCTTTGTCCCTCTAATTTAAGACTATGTCCTCTTGTTGTGGTACTTTTTCTTCTTTTAAATATAGTCTCCTCCTTTACTGTGTTGATTCCCTTTATATATTGAAATGTTTCTATCATATCCCCCCTGTCTCGTCTTTCCTCCAAGCTATGCATGTTAAGATCCTTTAACCTTTCCTGGTAAGTTTTATCCCGCAATCCATGAACCAGTTTAGTAGCCCTTCTCTGAACCCTCTCTAAGGTATCAATATCCTTCTGAAGATACGGTCTCCGGTACTGTGTACAATACTCCAAGTGAGGTCTCACCAGTGTTCTGTACAATGGCATGAGCACTTCCCTCTTTCTACTGCTAATACCTCTCCCTATACAACCAAGCATTCTGCTAGCATTTCCTTCTGCCCTATTACATTGTCTGCCTACTTTTAAGTCATCAGAAATAATCACCCTTAAATCCCTTTCCTCAATTGTTGAGGTTAGGACTCTATCAAATATTCTGTACTCTGCCCTTGGGTTTTTACGTCCAAGATGCATTATCTTGCACTTATCCACATTAAATGTCAGTTGCCACAATTCTGACCATTTTTCTAGTTTACCTAAATCATTTGCCATTGGCTTATCCCTCCTGGAACATCAACCCTGTTACATATCTTAGTATCATCAGCAAACATACATACCTTACCATCAAGACCTTCTGCAATATCACTAATAAAAATATTAAAGAGAATGGGTCCAAGTACAGATCCCTGAGGTACCCCACTGGTGACAAGTCCAAGCTTCAAATATATTCCATTAACTACAACCCTCTGTTGCCTGTCACTCAGCCACTGCCTTACCCATTCAACAATATTGGAATCCAAACTTAAAGATTGCAGTTTATTGATAAGGCTTCTATGTGCAACAGTGTCAAAAGCCTTACTGAAATCTAGGTAAGCAATGTCTACTGCTCCACCCTGATCTATAATTTTAGTTACCCAATCAAAAAAATCAATAAGATTAG